AGCTGAATTTGATACATTTAATTTTTACAGGGGCTGGGACACACATCTTTAAAATTTCAGCTCCCAGCTATCCTATTTCCCAAGTTAGCCATTTTTCTGCAAAAAATTTCGCGGGGCCGTACCACAAAACCACGAGTGCCTGAAGATTGAGCCTGATAAATTTTTGTTGCACATGCGCTGGGAATATTCTCTGAAAATTTCAGCCTTCCAACTTTCTTGGTTCTCAAGTTGACGATTTCCGCGCAAGGAACCTTCAGACGCCATACAGGAGTACCACGCGCACATGGAGGCTGAATTTGAAATCTTTGAGTTCCATATGGGCGGGGAACATAACCTCAAAATTTTAGCTTTCTAGCTTTTCTGGTTCCTGAGTTAGCGATATTCTTGCCAAAACTTTGACGCTCTCGTGCGCGAGGCTCAGACTTGCTGAAGGTTAGTACCACGGTCCTGGGGTGGCACTTGGCTGGGGGATCCACCGGCAAAATTTTGGCGCCGAGGCTTGCTTTGGTACCGAGTTGAAATACCCGGACACACACACACCGGGGTCGTCGTAATATGCATTTTCGCATTTACATGTATGCAAAAACGCATAAAATCTCCACGAATCTGCCTACTACCTAAAGAAAGGCAGACAAGAAAGGGAAGAGTATGTAGTAATAAAAGTAGATGCTCCCAGGGTGAGAGTGTGGCGCAGAAGCTGACAGTGCAGTGGGTAGCACGCCGCGTTTGAATGTGAAAGCGACTGGTTTGATTCCCCTTTGTTCCATACCCATTTGCAAAAGAAACCCTGTTCATGTTGCTCTTCGTTTGCACCGATCGTCCTGAATGTTGTCGTCCTAGGCCATAGGTAGTGTTTCGAAGATGAATGTACGTTATTAACAAAACACTGTTTGGTAAAATCACAATATTTTTGAACTCACAGCGTAAATTTCACATTTACGATTTCCATGCATGATCGTAAACTAGGCGGTTTTAGGACGAAAATAAAAAGTTGACTGAAAATTGAGCAAAAAGTTTTAGGATGAAAATAAAAAATTGAGCAAAAAGTTGTAATCCTGTCGTGAGGCGTCCCTTCAGACTGGTTAAAATGAAGCAAAAAATTAAATGCTGTCTTTTTTCCTGATGACCTTCTTCCCTCAAATTTTTCCTCAAAGCATCGGTCTTTCCTTCACTTACGTGATATATTAGTTAATGGAATATTCTGCTGTCTCCTGTTGCTGCTTGCGGAGCAAATCTGAAGTTTCATTAGTCCTTAGAACGTAAAGACTAATGAAATTTCAAATTTAATTGCCACAAAACGTTACACCATCTAGGATTCGAAAGCGCACGCTTTTGAAGATCTAAAAAATCATTACCAGTGTCACTCAAAACTACGAAGAATTTCATTCAGAGGATTAAATTTCAGAGAGGTGACGGAACATTCGTGTTTACCATGGCAATTAACGGAGAAAGATAATCAGATAACGGTGGATCACATTAAACCTCAAAGAATCGTTAATTATGATTCCTACAAGGTGAAATCTGCAAGAAATTATCACAGCAGTGAATCTAAACTTTTTGATAAATGAAATCAAATACTATTACAGCGCGAACGAACAGACAAGTATACGACCCGCACGAAGTCGGACTACGAGGTTCCGATTGCAATGGAGTCCTCCCGACACCGCACTTCTGGAGCCTATCAGAAGAGCGAGGTTGTCTACTTCAACGACACATTTGATGCAAAAGATGTAATTAGCGTCTGGATTCCTAATCATGCCCAGTTGAAGGAAATGCAAAATTATCTGTGCGGAAATTAAACAATTGTTTGGGGCAAATTCAGATAGGTGATACAGGAATCGGATAGAGGAATAATAAACAACGCGGGGAAAGAAGGATTCGGAGGGGAGCAAGGGGAAGGAAAAACAATTCATTTAAATTCTCATAAAAGGAAAAGAGAGCAGAATACGTCAAAACTAGGAAGAGGAACATTCTTCCATTAATCCAAAAGCCAAAATTTTTTCTGTGCCATTCATTTGGTGTATTTTCAACGAAACAAAGTAGGAGGTCATTCCTCTTGTCGGTCAAAATGGCTGCTTTTCTCACAATAGCAGCACCGTATTTTCTATGAATTTTCTAACCAGTGTGGCTGCCAATGCTGACCGGCAACCTCCTTTGCCTGTCAACTTTCTTTTGCGCATTTACGAAATGAGTTGACCACTGGCCAGACATAGGAGAGAGCCACTGGCAGCCTTGACAATGAGCATTTGCCGTTATCATTATTCAGGTTACTTCCTAGTGCCTCCATTTTTCATATACAGCAGATATGGGGGTTAGGACTCAACACACACTTTTTCAAGAAGCAGTAACATTTTTTTTGACGTATCGAACGGGCAACTTGAGTAAGGTGCATGCGGAGTTTCTACAGGTTGCTTGTGCTCGTAGATAATTTCAAAAAATACCTCAGTGTTAGTGAGCGTATTTTAAAAAATACACAAACTTTTGCAACGACTTTTTGTCGAAACCGCATTCCTCGTTCTTCTCCAGGGCTTGAAAAACACTTGTAATGTTTAACGCATCAAATTTCACAACATGCAATATGAGCGCATGAAAAAATATACTAATTACCGGGAACTGAAAAATGAATGAAGTGAGTGAGATCAAAAATCGCCATCCTGCATGTTTTCAACGAAGTAACAGGCGGCCTAACTCTGGTTGAAAAACAACCAATAAGATTTTTTGGCAACCCTTATCTGCTTTTACTGAAAAATTATGCGAGCTTTTTGCTCTCTATGAATTTTTATTACCAGAATTAAAACTCACTTCAAGTAGTCCATATCAAATTCCAGGAAAGTGGAATAAGTCGCCCACATAATCTTGCTTACCAGGCTGCTCCTTTCACCAATGTTACGAACACCGGTTCTCCATATGCCGGCAATATCGTGCGCCAGAAGCAAGGCTTTCAAAACAGCTACACTGCTGACAGCTACACAAGGTTAGCTTCCAGGGTTATTTGATTATCCCGGAAGACTAATTTGAGTTTGGGGAACAAGGTCTTGAGTATAAATCTTACTTCCGGTGTTGTTTTGAATCCTGCTATTATCTGCATTATTTGGGTTGGAAAGACGAGAACGTAATGTTGTGGCGAATATAAGTTGAAGTACGTTTTAACTACGATAAGAATGAGTCTTAGAAGCAGCATGAAAAGTGGTACTACAGTTCAAAGCATGCTTCCTGTGTAGGTGGCTAAACTTTTTTTCTCGATTTAATCGATTAGTGGCTGAAGTGATTAGGCCCAGGATTTTCGCAAAACGATCTCTTTCGTATTGTTTTTCCTCCCTTTCCCCGAATTCCTCATTTTCCCAACGTCTTCATTCCCGTATCCGTTTTTTCTCTGCTTGTTGTGATTACAAGAAAGTTCATCTAACAGCTTTATTCAGGCTTGTTTCTGATGTCACCGAAAAGCACTTTCTTGTTTTTTTTGTGGAATTCTTTTTTCGCAGAGAACCTTTGCCACAAATGTAAAATTATCTTTCGCTCTTTACAGATGGCGAATCCGATGGGGGTTTTGATTTTAACAAAGCAAAATCAAGCTTTTCAAACGTAATAGGACTTCTTTATGGTAAAGCGGGCTCGTGCATTTAGCTACCACAACACGTGTTCAAAGCACGTTTAACAAAAGAGCTGTGATTAGAGAATATTTCTAAAATACTTTATTTTGTCGATATGCAGACTTTGAATTAGTTAAATTAGCAAAAATGTGCGACTGTTTTACTGTTAGTATACCAAGAATAGCTCTCTTTAACAAAGGGTGTAGATCTGTGAGGGATTAAATCACTTATTTTCTCGACGCGGTATCTATTGCACCATCGGCGTTTGTCCCCCAAGCTCAGTCCGCGAGCTTTTTGCTACACATCTGTCATTTGATCTGTCATTTGACGTCTTTCCTTATGTTTGCTTCTCCCAGGACAGCATATAATTCCTTTTCGAAGTTCTTTGTCGGTTTTTTGCTAGTTTTGTGTGATAAAGATGAGCACCCCATGTTGCTGATGTTACTGGGATCGATTTTAAGCCGCGTTCCTCTTTAGTGGTAAATTAGGATTTTAAAATACCTACAAAACGAATAGGTATAGTCATTCCTGGTTCATTACAATCGTTAATCAAGAAAATCATTCCTGGCTTATTGGCTCAAGGATAATTTCCTGCAGATCGATGCTATTAGTTGTTTTTTGGCATAAAGCAGTTACAGGACAGAATCACGAAATACCAGCGGCTACGGCAGTTTTGGTGACGCAAAGCCTGTTCCGGGAGCTCCCAGTGTACCGCCGAAAGTATTTGGAAGCTCAGTTCCATCGTCTGCTACAACGACAGGGCAACCAGCGCCTGCTACAGACGCAACGGGAAGGGCATACACACCGATGCGTGTGGATACGAGAGATGCTCATGGCGGTGCTGGTTACCATTCTGTTACGTCTCCAGGTAGATACATACACAGCGGTGGTATACCAGTGGATTCATCCGGACGAGATTCTAGAGGTCTCTTTTATTTACAGCAGTACTGCTACGTGAGTGAGAAGCAGTACTTCTACTTGTGCTGTTGCTGCAGATCTTAACTAATTTCGATTTACTAGCTAATTTTGGTGAGCGTGTTTGACACCCTGCAGCCTAATTGTGATTTAGGGCTTGAAGAAGCCCATTCTTTTTCTTTACGATTGCAACACTTTAAAATCACTGGAAGAAATTAAAATGTGGACATTCAGGCGCTGCGTCCGGTTGGGAGCTATCAAATCACACAACAAGACAAGGCAGTAACCGGAGTCGCAAACTGTTTGAATTTTAATCGCGAAAGCGAGACTGTCCGGACGCCAGTGTGGATATCCCATACTAGTGGTAATACTGGGATGCGCCCACGCGCTACGTGCAGCTATGCCAAATCCTTTGATTCTAGGTTGCATACCTTCAGTCAGTATTCACGCTTTTTCTGCAGGTTTTCTCTTTGAGTCATCCCAGTGGTCATTTTCTTTCTCGCAAATACCAGTCACTAATGCTCGACGCCAGCCTATTGTCAGCTTGCCCACGAATTTTACTTTCCTGCTTGCTGACAATGATATCCTGCACGCCGCTCATCTTACGGAGAGTCTGTTTGTTTACGTAGTCACGAAGGAATACACGAATTTTGATCATAAAATCTGGCGTGAAAAAAAACAGGGGGCACCAGTTGAGAACGATTGCAAAGGTGATTTCAACTTGAACCATTATACTTTTGCCTGGCAGCAAATTTACTCGGATTTCCAAGCAGCATATGGTACTGTCCCTCATCTTCAGAGAACTATCACTTTAAGCGACTTTTTTATGTACTTAGTTTTTGCAGTCCAGAAAAATTATCCCATCTTTGCACTGTTTTCGTGCAGTTAAACAATTTGCAGGGCGAGTCGTGTTCCAGCACTCACCACGCACAGAACGCCAGCTCTCACCGCATGCTACAGTTCGTCATCTTCAGTACAATTCACCCATGAATATTTATTCTCCGCAGTCCGCTGCCGAACAGTATCTCCAGCAAACTGGCGGACGTTTCGGCATCGAGTGAGTCAGATTCATTTACTTTTTCCTCACATTTTTGTGTTAGCACAATAAATCACTAGTAAGGTAACTGATTTCTGAAGGCTGAATTTACTTTCTACTCGATCCTGGTGCGTGGTGTCTACACATTTAAAAGCGACGCCAGTGATTTGCGCGAATAGATCTAATTTTTATGCGTTTTTTGCAACAATGCAATGCGAAAAACGCATATTGACGAGAGTTGTCTGTGTGCGTGTTTGTGTGTGCGCTGCGCGTCTGTGCCGATTTTTCATCTCGAGACCCACAAAAGCTACAGGGCTGAAA